AAACTATGGAGAGAGAGAAGGTGACACATATAGAGGTATCCATGTGGGGCCACTGATGATTGTTCTGCATGCTCTACTCACATCAAACTGCCCTATTTGGGCAGAAAGGTGAAAATAGGCAAAATTTGTTTCAAGATTTGTTATACTGCCCTGTTTGGGAGTTTCAGAATACCAGTCAATGGTAAGGGCTGTGACTGTACCAATTCTGTGACTAAGTTTAGGACAAAATCCAAACCTACAATCTTACATGACTCAAAGATTTCTTTCTAACCCCAACTCCTTACATTTCCACCTGGTGCCTTTAAGGTATTTAGACCCCAATGCTCACTGGACTTCTCCCTATATATTTGGCTCATAAAATGACTATCCAGGTTGGAGCTCAATGAACATGTTGAAGCTCTACTATACATTTACTATTGATTTCTCTAATTTGAACCATGCACCAATTAGAGCAGGTATAGCCCTAGGGATGCATCCAGAGTCAAAGACAGCTATGCATACAACACTCCGCCACTAGCCCCTTGTTTAGCAAAATATATAAACTGTATCACCTAGAAGCTTCCAGGAGAAGCTATTTGCCATTTAAATAGATTGCATCATGCCTCTCCAGTGTCTAACATTGTAAGAAATACCTAATTTTTCAAAAAGCAGAAATGGATTCTTGACCACTTTCAGGTTTGTCTTCTGTTCCTCCCATTTTGGGGCAATTTTTTTGGCAGTGTATATGTCTCTTATCCTGTCTTTAGGATTCTGCGGGCAAAACTGGCCCCAGGAACCACCAAAGTTGCCCATTCTTGAATTAGGGAATGCGATACATTAACTCAAAATACATACATATCCTAAAGAGTTGTCAAATGCCTACACATTCTCTATACCCAGTATTGACTGCGTTTCAAAGTCGGATTGGTTGTTCGACAGTGCTGGATCATTTCTGGGTCAAGTTTGGACCAGCTGCTTTGCAGAAGTCCTTCTGCAGATTGAGAGGCTGGAGTTGGAGTAATAGGCACTGGCAGAAGCCGCTCCTGCTTGAAGGCAGAGAATGGAAACGCTGTTCCTTTGCTTGTATCTTTTAACAGGGGTGTCACTGTGACTGTAGGAACAGTTAGGCTCCTTTCAGAAGAAAAGCCTGGGCTAATAGGAGCTGCCGGTGACTTTTCTGCAATGAGAGATTTGGCCTTCTTTGGTTTGTGACATATTAGGAAGATACAAACAGCAACAGCAGCCACAATAAATAAAGCTGCTACAGATGCAAGAGGAATAATGATGAACAGCCAGTTGTTGCTAGGCAGGGATTGATCCCTAGTGGTTCGGGCACTTGTTTTCATTGTTGTCTCAGCCCAAACAGATTTGCCTTTTGCAGCTTCCTCAATATACATTGCCTCTCTGTCTTTCAGATGTACCCAGTGGTTTTGGTTGTGCCGCTGCGTTTGTGCTGTTGCTTCAGTATATGAGTCTTTCCTTGGAAAGACATCAACTTCATTTTGTGTAATGGTATAACTCTTTAAAATATTTGTACTGGTTAAGAGAGGCACTTCGGAAGTGAACATCTGGAGTAATGAAGGATCATGTGGCAATATGGCATAGTGAAATTGACCTATAGCAGGCTGTACACTGTTTGCTCGAAGTATAAAGGTGAAGGAATCATTGAGCATATCAACACCTGTCATATTGGCACATGCTTCAAGAAAAACAACACCTCTCTCAAGGTCACTTTGAGTGAACACAACTGATCTTTCAGCTTTAACGCTCCTCAATGGCCTCTTCAACACTCTTCCATAAAACGGGGAAACAATTATTTCAAATTCAGGATTGCTGTCAGTTAGATTTGCTAATTCTGTGGTATTAAAGTCACTTGCTTTCAGTTTGTAGGCCACGCAATTCGAAATATTCAAGTCAAGAGCCATTCGCACAAAGGGTTGTACTGTAATATTCAAAACCTGTCCTGTGAGGTTGCTGTCCAAGGTGAACACCATGAATTCCATTGTATCTCTAACTACAGTGGGGTCTGTCATATAATATGACAGTCTTCCTGCATCTATGTCTGCTTGTCGAAACAAATTTATCTGTTCATTACCGATACGTAGATGTCCATGCTTGGGGGGATCTGTTACTTCAAACATGATTTCAGTATTTTTCCCATTTGTTGCTCCTGAAAGTTGCACATTTGTAATAGTAACAGTATTCTGTCCCTGTGTAAGCACCACCTCTGTTAGGTTGACCAAGGTGACTGACATGGGAGTCACTTCAACACTAAAGAGTTTGTACAATGGACGGTGTTTTCCATCTGTTACACTAAAGTAAAAAACTCCAGATGAAGAACTTCCATCTTGAACAAACAAAACTTTACTGCTATCAACATCTGCTTGTGTGAAATCTTTGATGGATTCACTGAGATGACTCTGGAATGCTAAATAACCATTTTGGGGATTACTTATGATGGTATATTTGATCTCTTCTGGTGTGTTATCTAAGTCTTCCACTTTCAGGTTTTCCGGTCCTAGAACTGCTGTATCCCCTTGTAACACATTCAAATGAAGTCTTTTTGTCTTCAGTTCTGGTGCTTGGTCATTCACTGGCACAACAGTGATATTAAATAACTCTTCTAAAACATCAGAATCTGGTTTTGCTGTAGATCTGCCCTTTTGATTTAGCCACACTGCAAATAAGAACTGGTCACTGAGTGATTCCGAATCATCATGCACATAGGTGATTCCAAATTTGTTAACAATGTACTGGGAGAAATTAGGCTTCTCCCTTGTAATGTTTCTTTCTCCCACAACAATTCTCCCATGTTGGGGCAAGATTACAACCTCATACCATACTTCAAACATGGAACGCTGGGCCTCCAGTAATTTGGAGAGCAGGTTTGAACCATCCAGGTTGGTTTTGCCAATTATAACCTGGCCTCCCTCCTGTACAACAGCACCTGTAAAAATAAAAACATTAGTAAAGCATTAATTGGCAGGAGGAATAAATCATGATTTGCTAAAAAAAAAAAATCAGAGGACTCAAGCCATTTTCTTATCCAAAGCAAAAACAAAATGCCATTGCCTTTCCATATTCAGAATTCAACAATTTGGTTGTTGGCAACTGATAAAAAAATATCCTTGTGGTATACAACCAGATAGCCCAGGTATGGGCAAACTTGGGCACTCCTGAGGCTGTTAGGAATTGTGGGAGTTGAAGTCCAAAACACCTGGAGGGTCCAAGTTTGCCCATGACTGAGGTAGCCTATGTGGCACAGACAAGATCAATTAAAAAAATCTTGAGAAAGCAGATGAAAGGAATGATGAAACCACACCTTCAGCATCTGCCATCTGAGGCAGCTGACCCACTAAGCTTTAGAGATAGGGAACCTTTTGTCCTTCAGATATTTTGGATTACAAGTCCCACAATCTCCTTTTATCCATACTGAGTGGTGCTTTTGAACTTTTACTGAGGTTCCAAAGTAAGGAGAGGACCAAATATTACCCCCTGTGGTTTACATAGCAAATGGGAAAACACAACTTTCCCCTAAGTTCTAACTATTCCTGGGAAGCCAATTTTTGGGAACACCACCAAGGGAATGTGTTCTTGAATGGAAACCAAAAAAATGAGGAAACAGAGAAAGAAGGTGTGAGAACCTGAATAATCGTTGGGAATTGAGGGTTAGAAAGAAAAGTCTAGCTTGCCAATGGAATTTCAGATTGTTTGACACCTATATACGCAGGAGTTGAGTTGAGAAAGAAGATAAAGAGAGCCAGTGTGTTTTAATGAGCAAATATACCATTCAAATCAGAGCTGGGGCACATATACACTAGAATCATAGAATCATAGAGTTGGAAGAGACCTCATGGGCCATCCAATCCAACCCCCTGTTTAAAAGCTTCCAAAGAAGGAGCCTCCACCTCACAGTTAGAAGTTGAAAGTTGTTCCTAATGTTCAGGTGGAATCTCCTTTCCTGTAGTTTGAAGCCATTGTTCTGGTCTCCAGGGCAGCAAAAAACTATACAGTTACAGCATTGTTATCCCACTTTAACTGCCTTTTTCCCATCCTACGGAATTCTAGAATTTGTAGTTTGGTGAAGCTCTGTACCACTCTGACTGTGGAGTCCAAATATCCCTCCCTAAACTATGATTCCCAAAATTCTAGAAGAGGGAACCATGGCAGTCAGAGAGGGAAACAGTGCTTTAATTCTGTAGTTTTGAATAGGTCCCAGAAAATATTGTGTTCCAACTACTGTACCCATATGCCATCACTTTGAGAAGCTATGTTCTTTCAACGAAGCCCACTTCTCAGGGTTGTTTTGAGGTTTAAAAAAACATAACCCCATGTGCAGCTGCCTTGAGTTCTTTGAAGAGATACCAAAATGTGACTGGAAAGATTATTTGTTTTACCTGTGTTTGCCAATAGCTGGCTACTTTGGCCATGTCCTTGAATTCCATAAGATATATTGATGTGAAATACTTGAGGGCCCAGGACAGCTGGTGGGGAGGAGATGGTAAAGATAAAATAATCTTGGGCATCCCAATCAACTGCTTCCTTATTTGCATGCTCATAGATGACGATTCCTTTATCCACCTTTTCAAAGGAAAACAGAAATGAACACTCAGGTTTCAGTTCAATCTTTGGCCTACAGAAAAGGATTGCGTCACATATGGACTTTGGCCAAACCTCAGGGCTAAACCTATAATCCCGTAAAAGTGTGGTGGAAACTCGATAACCACAAAACTTTAATTCTGTGTGTAAACCAAGAGATTTACCCTCAGGCTAGTTAACACATTCACTGGATCACGGAAACAATCAT